TGATTCCAGTCCGTGCCTTTAATTTTCTTTTGGCATCCTCCGCTGCATCATGGGGAGTGTCAGCTCGATCGTTTCGGCGGCCCTTGTTTCTGTCATCACGGTTTGAACCATGGCGCTGATCTTTTGACCAGTTGTTTGGGCGGTTATCCTCCTGCCCAACCGAGTGAACTTTCCTCGCCACCCTTCTGTCTGCCGCCTTGGCGTAGTGCGGTATCCGCTGCATCAACGACTCCATGGTTGTGGGTTGATGCATCGTGAGTGAATCTCGCAGCCTATGTCCGACTGGGAGACCCCGTTTGTATTGAGTAATCGCCAGATTGGTGGGGCAGTCGAGGATCTCATTGAAAGTTTCCCAGTATTTCGCATTGTATGCCTTCAACAAACATCCAGACTCCATCTTGACGCCCAGGAGATGGTCGACCTCCTTCGGCGTTCGTGTGTTGGTTTTGAATCTGGTGACGAAGGCTTCTGCTAGTTGCTGCCACCTCTCAATACTCCCCTCCGGGAGCCTTTCGAACCACTTCAAACCCAGCTCTCCTAAGCTTGCTGGGAATATGAGGCACATCAAGGCGTCGTTGCGTCGGTGGCCAGCCATTACTTGCCGGTAATGGCTCACATGCATGTACGGATTCGTCTTGCCGTCGTACAAAGTGAACTTTGGCTGGTGGAATCCGGCGGGGAGTGGTGTACTCTCAATCTCTGGAGACAGTGGCGTGGCTGTAAGTCGCGCCAGCTCTTTGTCCACCAGCGCAGGGGCTATCGCTTTGGGGGCTAGCATCACCACTTCCTCACTACAATGAACTGGAGCGCTCAACCTCTGCAATGCCGGCACTCTCTGAGCCTCCCGACGGCGCACCCTCTCCTCCAATACATCCCTCAAGTCCCAGGAACGTGCGGAGAAAGAGGATCGCGACGTCGGCGTCGGGCGTAAGGGGCAGTAAGTGTTGTCGCGAGAGAAGGACCTGCCCTCTCTTTGGTCGGAATCTCCAACCCCATAGTTCCTGGTAATGGAGAGAGAGTGAGTCCTCCCCTGGCGGCGACTGCTACAACGAGGGGACGGGGTGCGCTCACTGAGGTTGCCCTCTCCAGCAACACCCTTCCCTTTAATCTGGCGTTTCAACAGCTCCATCTCCGTCGCCATCTTGTGAATGAGGGCATCTTGGTCCTTGAGTTTGTGCTCCAGGCGCTGCGCATGGGACTCCCCCCGGCGTCGGCGGCCCTTTGGACTCTGCGAGCAATCAGTACTCCTCCCGCGTTTGTCTCGCGCACCTCGTGAAGAAGTCTCTAGGCCCGCCATGGCTGGAATATTCGGGGGGCCTTCTCTCAAGCGGACATACTCAGGTGTGACGCCATCGACGACGGACAGTGGGGCTTCGCCGTTGTTGGCCATGGAAATGGTCGGGGAAGCTCAAAGAACAAGGGTTGAGTATCAAAGATTTTTCCACAGACGGCGCCAATTGTACGGGGGCGAAATATCCTCTGTTTTCCGTACTCCCTGTACTCCAAGCTTCTCTAGACGGCGTCTACCTGGCAGCAACACAAAAACGGTGAGCTGCCCGGCGGTGGTGTGCCGGATAGACCTTCCGACGATCAAGTCAGTCCACTTGAGGAAGAAGAAGACTGTTAGAGAGAGAGAGTATTCTCTTTGGGGAAAAAGTTGCATACCTCTAACGTTCACCTTCCTCCACTATTTCTAGGCTGGCCATGTAGCCCCAAGATCATGTGCGCACCACCTCTGTTGTCCTTCCCTGGACAGGTGGCAGTGCTTGCCTCCCACCACCTTACGCGTGTAAAGATTTCGTCCTCCAACCAGTACATGCGGAACTGCCAAACGGTATTGGTGCGTGCGTGGAGCAAATGTCCTCTTCCTCACGCCATTGGCCTAGGTGGCACACTTAACCGGAGTACCACGACCAGCTGGTTCCTTGTGGAGAATTGCCTCCTCGAACACATAATCGAGATAATGAACGCCGACCTGCCCCTTGGCAAAGGGGCCAAAGTGTTATGCTCATGGCCGGGCTATTTATGATCGGTCCCACCTGACTGAACGGCCATGAAGCACGCTGGACTTCCACCATTCTTCATTCTTGATCACATGAAGCCCGTCCATCTCGGCCGATCGGTTAGGCGCATGCCGACGCTAATCGCATCTCAAATCCAGTCCGGGCTGCTCTTAGCTTGGTCATCAGACACTGCTGCGTGCTTGGCCGCGTCATAGCTCAGCCAGGCATTGGTTTGTGTCTGGCCGGTCGACCTCTCCGGCCGTGCAAGTCAGGCCGCTGGACCGAGCAAGAGAGGAGTCTGCTCGGCGGCGTGCGGTTCGTCATGATCGGCGTTATCGTAGCTTGGCCGTACTAACGCGCAAATCTCCCCTCTCAATATATATTACCATTGGTTTTCTAGTTGACCTAATTTTAAGGTTTACACCAATAAAATGATTAATAAATAAGAAAAAAAATATGAAAAGCAAAAATCATTTTTTCCTCACATTTAAGTTATCATTTTACCCATTTAAGTCACGTTTGATTCACAAGACTAATAGTGAAGTATTAATAATCCTATTAAATTAGTATGGTATTCATTATCCAATTGGATTAATATCCATTGGATTAATAATCTCATCCCTACCCCATTACTAATAATCCTACAAATTTGTTGGATTAATTATCCATTGGATTAATAATCCTAAACCAAAATGTTAAAACAAACATAGGATAATTAGGCCCACGGATTAATAATCCCAATCCCATGCTCTAATCCACCCAATCAAACATGCCATTAAGGAAAATTATTATTCCATCCTAAAAAATAAATAATTTCACTTGAAACTGCTAGCATTTTCACTCTGCATTTTTTTCCTCGCATTTAAAATATCATTCTCTTAGTTTAAATCTTAAAATTAAATAAATTAAAAAGTACACAATGGTTTTACCCACATCTATTTATTGACAGACTGCATTGACATATGAAAACCAAAAAAAATGAAAACAGCCAAAACAGTCCGCAAGTAGGAACAGTTTTTGGAATTGATTCACTCGGGTTCATATTTCATCTTTTTAGAAAGCATTATATATTAAAAAGCGGTAAACTTTTGTTGTCTTTTCTTTAACAAAGTTTTCTCTCAACAACCAAACAAAGGGTCAAACAAGAACCAAATGAATATAGCTCATTCATGCAAGAACATGCCACAGAATAGCATATACTAGTTCTATATAATTCATATATTTTATTATTTACTAATTTCATTGCACTTAAACTAATCCCAGTTACACAGTCAGTGTGATCAATATGAACTTTACGCATCTTACATAAAATCTAAATATTATTGTACATGTCTTCAATAAATAAATTTTGAATACATGAATTACATCTAACAATAGAAAATCAAGAAGATCAGAATTTACTGGTTATTTTTCGTTGTTTAGCACAGCCTCGAGAAGTTTAAAGGTGGGAGGTTTACCAACACCCCTTCTTGAATACTTCTCCATCTTCAAGATTCTGCTGCAGCTCTTCGTTCTCTCTCTTTTGCTTCCTCCTCTGCAACCACCACATAAAATTTTAAAGTAAAAAGTGTTGGCCATATTGTGAGGCAATTTCTGTCGTATATGTGATTTGTATTAATGCAGAAACCATTCAACCATCAACAGAATTTACTATAGTCACCACAATAATAAGCATCCAAGGAGCGAAAATTTATTTCTATTCTACTAAATGCACTAGTGTAGCACATTTACAATTTCAAAATTTTTTATTTTAGTATTTCCAATGAACACTAAAGATTCAAGTGCCTCGAGTTCTAGCCTCTTTGGATCTTTACAAATGCTAAAACTGGTGACAATACTATGTGCGGAAACTATAAAGCATAGACATGGACACAAGACACCATGATTCTCAAAAAATTATGGTACAAACACGGCAGGAATACGACAATAAATATATTTTTTATATATTTTATTTACAATTTTTTTTAATAGAAATTTAGGATACATAGATATGAGAGGTATATGGATACATATATGGGTGTTTTTTTCTTCCCCCCTACCTTTTCTCTCTTTATTTCAATATATTTTACTTTGGCACCAAATTAGCTTCCTAAAATTATTTAGAAAAAAAAATTAATAAACGATAAAGATGTCCTGAAGAGTGTCCAATCACAAGACACGAGTGTCTATAAAGTGTCCCTGGCGTATTCTACAAAAAAGATTAAAAAATTGAATGCCATGTGGAATGTTGAACACGTTGACACCCGTGTCCTGTCTATCAAACATTGATAAAACACCAATCTTGGAGTGTGGTGCTTCTTAGAAAATAAATCACACAGCAGTAACCTTGCGTTCCTTTCTACTATCTATCCAAGAAGAGAACCTGAAATCGATTTGAAAGAACTTTTTCCGTCAGGATGTTGTTTTGCTTATTCTCAATCAATTTGAAGCAATTGTCGAAGTACAGCCTGGCGAAAGAATTGTATTTGGATGGACTGCATATTGTTCTTAAAGATGAGCAATTTTCAGCAAATATGCTAACTATTTTGGATGAAATCTCTGGCAATTCTTGAAGCTTCTTGCAATCACTCAACCACAAGTTGCACAGCCTTGAAAGTTGATTCAGGCTTGCAGGTAACCTTTCCATATTGTTTCCACTTAGATCCAAAAATTTCAAAGAGTCGATGTGACAAATGGCTGTGGGGATAGATTTTAAATTACAGTAACTGAGATCTAGTTGACGTAAAGACTTTAACCCTGACAAAGAAGCCATAGAATTATCTCTCTCTCTTCGAAAAATGGAAGGCAAGGAGAAAAAACTCCGTGAATTAGATGATATTCCTTTACACCCTTTTAGCGTTGGTACTCTAAGATTCTTCAGACGTCCAATGGGGGATGGGAGTTGTCTAGTTGCAGTCCAATCTGCATAAAGCTCATATAAACAGTCCAAAACACCCAAGTCTTGTGGCAATTTGTCAAGTTTGGAGCAACCAGAAAGATTCAAATTTCCAAGATCTTTCAACTGACACAGGAATTAGATGATATTCCTTTACACCCTTTTAGCGTTGGTACTCCAAGATTCTTCAGACGTCCAATGGGGGATGGGAGTTGTCTAGTTGCAGTCCAATCTGCATAAAGCTCATATAAATAGTCCAAAACACCCAAGTCTTGCGGCAATTTGTCAAGTTTGGAGCAACCAGAAAGATTCAAATTTCCAAGATCTTTCAACTGACAGATGTTGTCGGGAAGACTCTTGAGACTTTTGCAATCCTTCAAGTTCAAACAAATAAGCCTTTTGAGAACTCCAATGGATGGATGAAGATTAACCAAACCCATACAGCCTTCAAGAATCAGTCTTTCAAGATTTGGGACCCCGGCGAAGTTTGGGCTCTTCTTTAGGTATGTCGAGTGACTAAAATTCATGATCCTTAACTTGTCTAGATGCTGTTGAAGAAAAATAAAAATAAAAATAAATTACAGAAATTATATAGAAATAAATTACATAAATTATATTGTGTCAAGGACTTTGCATCTTATTCAAAGTAGACAAAGAGAATGCATATTCATACCATTGTTCCCTTCCAAAGTTGTTCAATTCTACTATAGGTTAAGTGAAGTTCGACAAGATGCTCTAGTTGAAATGTTGAAGGCATGTATTTCATAGGGTATCCAAACCAATCAAGATACCTTAAATTGTTAGAAATATATTTGAGGTCTTTTGAGAGGTGCATGCAACAAATTTTGAGAATCCTCAAGTTGGACATCTTTGCAAAAGCTTCAGGCCTCAACTTCAATTGTTTTAGAAATTGAATGTCCTTTGGATCTAGACCGCTTAGGCCATTATACTGCATAACTATGCCTTCCACTTTGTTTGTTCCCTAACAACCACAACCAAATAAAAAGGACGCAATATTAAAAGGCTGACAAAATTATGCAGAGCTAGCTTTTGTTAATTAAACAAGTTTTAGAGTGTTTATACTTTTCTATAAGACCTCTTACCGTATTGTTCATCAATACATTTTTTATATCTTCATCACGCCATAACCTAGTGCGCTCTCCAGGCTCTTCACGTGATTGTTGGATAACAATGCACCACCCTAGTTGTTGTATCAAATCATGCATCAACAACTTATTGCTTGAGATAGTGATGAGAGACTTTTGAACAAGAACATCTATTCCAATAATTGGGTCGAAGCCACAACTTTCTAGTATTTTTATAACCTCATTTTTGTCCTTCCATTTGAAAAAACATGCAATATCTAAGAATATTTGCTGCTCTTGCCAATCCAATGCATCGTAACTTATTCTAATTACTTGATGAACTTCTGCGAGATGGCTTCCTTTTAGTTTGTTAATGAACTTTCCCATTCATCTTTGTTTCGACCACGAAGGAAAGAACCTAAAACTTTGAGAGCTAAAGGAACTCCTTTAGCATACTTTAGTGCACGACGTACAAGTTCTTGATAGCCTTCCATATGTTGGTAATTACTGAAGGCTTTCGATTTAAAGAGCTCCATAGCTTCATCTTCTCTTAATTCCTCAACTTCATAAATATGTGTTATGCCATATCTACTGAACACATGTTTATTTCGAGTGGTTATAATGATTCTACTTCCAGAATTCAAACAATTGTGCTCACCTACCAATTTTTCAAGGTTGGTTGATTCATCCACATCATCAAGCACGATAAGAACCTTTTTACGACATATCATATTCCTTATCATATGTACTGCATGAGCATCACTTCGTACTTTCAAATCCTTTTCTATTAAGATTTTAGAAATAAGTTGTTCTTGCAAAGTTTTTAAACCACATTTTTTTGAAACTTCTCTAACATTCTCAATAAAGCTACAACCTTGAAATTGGTAGGAGATACAGTCATAAACAGCTCTGGAAATAGTAGTCTTACCTATTCCACCCATTCCCCAAATTCCTACAACACGAGCATCACCCATCCCTAAACCTAGCAATTCAATCACTTTCTGCATACGAGAATCCATCCCAACTAGGTCTTTGACAACGCTTGAATATGTACAATTTAATTTTGTAAAAAGTATCTCAACAACTTCTTGGATAAACATTGATTCAGACCTACAGATTTAGGGGGACAATAATAAATTTATTCATCAAAACTCAAAAGAGCTATAAGAAGGAAAAGTGTCATTATTTGGGTAAAATGTGATTAATTTTACTCATTGCAATTGAATAGCACATATAAATACAATTTTCCTGTATTTGATATGATCATAAAGAAAAACATGAAATTTGAATGGCACATTGGGTTTCTAAATTTTCCCACAATTGATCGACTTTATTAGTTATTGAACTACATTTGTTCAATTCTACTTTAATTTGTTGTCAGAAACCCTTAGGAAGATTTCTATTTATAGAGTTGTTTATAGTATTTTTTATTTTAAAAATTTGTGTAAAAGTGTTTGATGAAGCTTTTGTTTACAACTTATGAGTTAGAAATAGTTTAAATAAATTATTACTAACAAGGGAAGAGATTTCGATCATCAACTTTTAGTTTGCTAGAAACCGCATCAAATCAGTTAGACTATATTTCTAGCCCTTCAACTTTAAGACGTTAAAGTTGTTTTTGAATTTATGAGTTTAGTAGGGATTTGTAGAGGAAAATGAAAAAATGCAAAAAATACAAATGAAATATAAGTTAAATTTTTTCACCATTCCTCTTATCTTTTTCTTTTCTCCATAAATTCATGTCCAAACCCTAGATCCAAACACAAAGGTTAGATGATGATTTTCTTTTTCATTAATGTTATGAAATGTTATTAAACTTGGCAACACTTATTTCACGCTTATAATGTTTCTTAAATCATTATTTTTACACACATATTATAATGTTTCCTAAATCCTTATTTTTACGGTCAAACTAATTATTTTTTGAATATGATAATATTAAACATCATATAAAATTATGTTTGAGAGGGTAATTTTTGGTGAAAATTGGGCCGAGCTATGACATAGACTTTATGGCCCAAAGTATGACGGACTGGGTAAAAAGGGCCGAGAAGTTACTCCGGCCCGAGAGAGATAAATTACTTCGGTCAAAAGAGATGAAGTTACTTCGGCTCAAGAATTGTAAAGCTACTTCGGTTTGGACAACTTGGAGTTAGTCCGGTCTTCGAGTTAATCCGGTCATGGCGTATTCTGGATAGATCGGTCAAGACCTTACTACTCGGTAGCTCGGTCCCAACATATCATGGTTCATACATGGGAGAACCGAGATAAGGAGTGAAAGGAAGGGCCGAACTAAGGATAGTTCGGCCTACCTTGTGGCTCAGCTTAGCCAGTTTACTTCGGTTAAATGGTAGTTCGGCCGTAGTAAAAACCATCCCACTTGGTTTAAGCAGTGGGGGGGTGTAAAAGGATAAGCATTATCCTTTAAGAGTATGAATCCTATGAGGACTCTGCATGGAGAAATAAAAGTCCTACTAGGATTGTGCCACTCGAAACCTATAAAAGCTCACAAGCATCACCTTGGAGGAGGTAACATAACACAACATACAATTTTGCTTCCGGAATACATTGAGCTTTGTCTATTTGTCAAGTTTTCTGACTTAGGCATCGGAGAGGTTTCCGGCACACACCCACCGGCTAGCTCACGTTTGTGTTTTCAGGTGACAAAGCGACGTCGTACGGAGAAGCGTGGACTTAGTCAACAGGATTATACGAGAAAAATTATTTCTTCTCCGTACAATTGGCACCGTCTGTGGGAAGAACAGACAGAACGAAACCTCTTGACTAAGCTTCTCCTTTTCTCAATCAATGGCACACATTGAAGAATTACCGCAGTCCGCCGTCGACGGGCTAACTCTGGATGGGGGCGTAAGGCGTGAAGGATTACCTTCTGTCCCTCCCATGGCGGACTTGGAGCCCCAACGACATAGCTCCAGGAAGGATACTAGAGGAAGGCGAAATAACAGCTCTCATTCACAAAGTCCTGACAGACAAGGAGGAGGATTGATCCTCAAGCCCTGGAAGACCGCGTGAAGGAGCAAGATGAATTGATAAGAAAGATGGCGGCGGACATGGAGGCTTTGAAACGCCAGATGAAGAAAAAAGAAGTGGCGATAGGAGAGGGGCGCAAAAACAAGACGCCCCTCGCCACTCAGAAAATCGTAGTAGGAATACTACACCCTCGCAAGGAGAAAGCAGAAGCCTCAGGACAGGCGACACTCAATCTTGGTCTTCCAGAACTCGTCACTCCAGGTCTAAGAGGACGAGATCTGAGAGATCATACACTGAAGGAAGCACATATTGGCCCTCACATTCGCACCAAACCAGATCTAGACAAACGGAATTACCCAGATCATCCGACTTACGAACCGTGCTCGAAGAGAAAGCACGATGCAAGGAGGATGCCAGGGCAAGAGATCCACATAGAGTTTCATCCTTACAGCGGTTGGCTCCTCGGACGCATGGAAGCGTCGAGGTTGGAATGCCAAATAACCGCCCCAGCCTCACGAACCAACGACAAAGCACTGGCAAGAACTACAGACTTCGACCATTTGTTCCAGCATCGAAAACGCGCTCCTATCCCATCAGACATTCTTCCAGCCGAAATTCACCACATATGAAGGGAGACGGACCGTATTCACACTTGAGCCCACTTTTCGCCTAAGTCATGGCCGGTTTACAGCACGAAACGAGGCCTTAATGTGGCATACTCTCCCGTCTAGGCCTTGGCGACCTAGCTTGACTGTAGGTTCGAGAAACTCTGAGGCAGCATAGCCTCTTAGGGCGCAATTGCAGGACAGGCTTTCTGTACAAGGTTCCGAACGAACACACTAAAACCCCGGGTGGAGATCGACCAGCTACTCATCCATCGACATGGGCGACAAGAGACCCTAAATCCTACAACAGTCGCTACTGGAAGACATTCCTATATCAGATTGGGGACTGCACCCACCAATCTCGCCTATTGCACAAGTATAAAAGAGGCCTCGATTGGAACGAGACTGAGGGACCTCGATCACACATGACGCACCCGCATCACTATGGAAGCCTTGATGAAAGAGTTGCATCAGCACATCAGGTAGAGAGGATGGCGCACGACAAAAGCAAAATTTAGTGCAGACGCAAAGTACCAGAAAGAAACCTCAGCAAAGGTCATATTAGATCGTCAGAGCAAAAACGGGCGTTGGCAGACGAGAAACGGAGAAGACTCCGAAATCAAAGATGGTTGAGGAACCCGTTTACTGCCATAAACCACGGTGTTCAAGAAACCGATATATCGCGATTCTTGAGTCGAAAATAAGAGAGGAACCTTTCGTCCAAGATGGCCAGCAAGCTTAGGAGAAGCCCCCCAGAGCCTCTCCGAACGCAACGATCCCGGTGCACTCCTCACAAAGAAAGGGCACCCGACCGCCCGGAATTACACACATCTGAGACAACACCTGAAGAATTCAGTGACAGCGGCCCCTTGGCAACATACATTGAAGCAGGACGCAACCACCCCCCAGGATCAACAATAACCCCACGGAATGCCAATTCGATGCCCCACCTCAAGGCATTCATCCAATCCGTAATACAATGGATGTCTTTGAAACCCTGAGCTGTGTAGCGAGCTCAGGGGATCAATCAAGGCTGAGCACTCCTTTACACAAGTCTAAGTGGCCCAGCCTGCATCAAGAAGGGAAAATCGACGGCGACAAACTGTTATGTCTTTTTCGGCTAAAGACTTGGTCGGAATATACTGTCCTCACAATGATGCTCTGGTCGTCACTCTCCGAGTCAGGGATTTTGACGTCAAGCGGATTCTGATTGACCAGGGTAGTTCATGTGAGATCATATACTATGACACATTTAAACAACTAAAGCTACAAGATAAAGACTTGGCGCCTGCGGTATCCCCCCTACTTGGATTCAACTCCATGCCAGAGTGGCCTGTCGGCAAAATAATTCTTCCAGTCAGAGCAGGAAGTGTAACAAAACAAGTGGAGTTCTGGGTATTGAAGGTCCCTTCCACTTACAACATCATCTTGGGCAGAACATGGCTACACGCCATGCGTTCGGTGGCGTCATCCTACCACCAGGTAATGCGGTTCCCCAACGACACCGGTATAATTGAAGAAGTCTATGGAGATCAGATCATGTCAAAACAATGTTTCGCCGCGGTAAATGGCAGCCGCGCTGCCAAAGGATACGTTCATTCGGTGGAGGAACCTGAAAACAATGAACTATTCGCGGACGTCGGCAAAGAGACTGATCAAAAAGCGGTGGAGGACTTGGTGGAGGTAAAAATAGATGAGAAGAACCCGGATAAGTTCTTCCTGCTTGGCTCGTCGTTGTCCAGCACTGAGAGATTAAAGGTCTTGGAATTCTTGACCTCTAACATCGAAGTGTTTGCCTGGACGCCCTACGACATGCCAGGCATTGATCCAAACTTCATCAGTCACCAACTCAATGTCCACCCATCCGCCAGACCAGTCATTCAGCGCACACGCAGATCGGCACTCCACCACGCCGAAATAGTGGCGGAAGAAGTGGGCAACCTGCTGGAGGCAGGGGCAATTAGAGAAGTGCATTACCCAAGATGGATCTCCAACACAGTCGTAGTGCCAAAGAAAAATGGCAAATGGCGAGTCTGCGTTGACTACAAAACAGTCAACAAGGCGTGCCCAAAAGACAGCTTTCCACTACCGCGGATAGATCAACTAGTGGACCTAACGGCGGGGCACAACCGACTTAGCTTTCTGGATGCATACAGAGGCTATCACCAAATCGCCATGCATGAACCAGACCAAGAAGTCACATCTTTTACAACTCCAACAGGACTATACTATTACAAGGTCATGCCCTTTGGCCTAAAAAACGCAGGGGCAACATTTCAACGGATGGTCACCAAGATGTTCGAACCATTGTTAGGCAGAACAATGGAAGCTTACATCGACGACATGGTGGTCAAAAGCAAGGATGAGAATGACCATCTTAAGGACCTAGGCGAGATGTTTGAGATCTTGAAGAAGCACAAGTTGCGCCTCAACGCATCCAAGTGCGCATTCGGAGTAGGATCTGGCAAAGTCCTAGGCTTCCTTGTGACTAACCGAGGTATAGAAGCAAACCCCTCCTAGATCAAGGCAATCTAGGATTTGGAAAGAACAAACTCAGTAAAAGAAGTGCAGCATCTCACCGGCATGGCGGCTGCGCCGTTTGAATTCTGCGCGTGCAGAACAGCTGGCTACACGACCCAATGGCGTGAAGCCACGTGGCACTGGAAACACGGCTGTCAGTACGGCTGTACGACCTTTGATGAGACTGCGGGGGAAATGGCCGACCAAACAGGACAGCTCGGCGATAGATATGCCCCCAATCATGCTCGGCTTGGTAATGGCACAACTCATCCGTTAGCTCGGTCACGATGGTAACCCCAATCACGACTAGGTCGGATGGGGTTAAGGGGCAATTAAGAGAGGAGATTTGCGCGTTAGTACGGCTGAGCTACGATAACGCCGATCATGACGAAACCGCACACCGCCGAGCAGACTCCTCTCTTGCTTGGCCCAGCGGCCTGACTTGCACGGCCAAAGAGGTCGACCGGCCAGACACGAACCAATGCCTGGCCGAGCTATGACGCGGCCGAGCGCGCAGCAGTGTCTGATGACCAAGCTAAGAGCAGCCCGGACTGGATTTGAGATGCGATTAGCGCCGGCATGCGCCTAACCGATCGGCCGAGATAAACGGGCTTCATGTGATCAAGAATGAAGAACGGTGGAAGTCCAGCGTGCTTCATGGCCGTTCAGTCAGGTGGGACCGATCATAAATAGCCCGGCCATGAGCATAACACTTTGGCCCCTTTGCCAAGGGGCAGGTCGGCGTTCATTAGCTCGATTATGTGTTCGAGGAGGCAATTCTCCACAAGGAACCAGCTGGTCGTGGTACTCCAGTTAAGTGTGCCACCTGGGCCA